CTGACTTATTTCGCTCAGCATAACACCCTCAAGGTCCATCCATGTATCAACAACACTCCTGATCATGATGCCCTGAGGCTTTATAAATTCTGGACATTAATCTGCACTTATGAAGCCTTTCTCAGAGTGGCAAAAACTGCCTGCAGTCAGACTTGCCGCTGATCGGAACTCAGTGGCTCTGTGCCAGAACTGCACCCTGGCCTCACCTAGGGGTGGCGGTAAAAATACTGCTTCTGGGCCCCGCCCCCTACAGAGACCTCCATGTAATTGACCAGGGAGTAGCCTGGCATAGAGAGTTTTTACAGCTCCCTAAACAATTTGAATATGTAGCCAAAGTTGAGAACCACTGATTTCTACTGAAATTCACCCCCTTGGCACCAAGAGACATTTGTAGCAAATTTGTCTAACCACCTTAGTGCTTTTCAGCTTCTGGGGGTCTAAGGATGAGACTGGGCGTGGAGGCGTCAATACAGATGGGAGCAATATCTTGATCTAACCTACTCAGCACATCCTGTATTTGTTTTCCCAGAACCACTTTCTGTTTTGCTTTTACTTCCTTGCTCTTTTTTCTTTCTATAAACCACACTCACTGCCGCTGTCAATTTAACCTGCTGGCTTCCCCTCATGATCAAAGTCCAAGCTGTGTATGATCTCATTTATTCTTGAAATAGCCCTGCAAGTGAGGAGGGAGCCAAGCTTTTGTTCCTTAAGGCAAATCGGGGGCCTGCAGATCAGGAAAGGTTTTATCTGACATGGAATTCATATTACTATTTTACTTCTGCGTGTTTATAGCCATTTTCTTTTTTCTATTTTTTTAATGTTTATTTACTTTTTAGAGAGAGAGAGAGAGTATGAACGGGGGTGGGGCACGGAGAAAGGGAGACACAGAATCTGAAGCAGGCTCCAGGCTCTGAGCTGTCAGCACAGAGGCCGACGCAGGGCTCAAACTCATGAACCATGAGATCATGACCTGAGCCGAAGTCAGACGCTTAACCGACTGAGCCACCCAGATGTCCCTGTTTATAGTCATTTTCACTTACAAAGTGCTTTCACCTATTTGCTCGTGTGGAGTCCTCACAGCAAGTCTGTGGTGACAGTATTTTCATAACCAGGGGGGCCACACATCCTGATGTGCCCTGAACAATTCTTGGTGACACCTGTCATCCTAGCCTACTTATTCATAGCGCCCCTTTCACTCTCCAATCAAGTGTCTTGGTTGGAACAATAAATGATATGATCATGTTATTTATGACTATCCTCTTAAAAGTTTTTAAGAAAGGCTGCTAAGAGGTTAAAGAATTTGGGGGCGTCTGGGTGGCTTAGTCGGTTAAGCATCCAACTTTGGCTCAGGTCATGATCTCACGGTTCATGGGTGTGAGTTCCTCATCAGACTCTATGCTGACAGCTCAGAGCCTGGAGCCTGCTTCAGATTCTGTGTCTCACTGTCTCGCTGCCCACCCCCCACCCTGCCCCATCTCATGCTCTATCTCTCTCAAAATAAATAAACATTTTAAAAAAAGAAGTTAAGGAATTTTTTCGGTCATCAGCTGATTAAAAACCAAACAAGACTCAATCTCATGTCCTGTGTCTGCAAACCTCTGCCCCACCCATGGGTATTACAAAACATTAGGTCAGAACCAATCTACTCAAAGCTTTCTTATTGTTGATGAGGACATTAAATACGTGAGGGCGATCATCTCCTAAAAGTCGCTACGAGGATGTTCTCTGCAAGGAGTATAGAGCAAGGCCAGCAGACTCCTAATGTTCTGTGACATGAGACTGCATTAGCTAAGTATCAGTGAACGGTCATCTTGGATGGCCCTCAAGAGCTTAACTGAGCACAACAAGGCACAAGGCAGAATACAGGTATCTGGAAAAGAAAGAGAAACTCAGAGTCCAAACTGCTCCAGGGGAAGACTGGATCTGAACGTGACCAGGCGTTGTTCAACCATAAAACAGGTGGCATCGTCATTCTTACTTCCCTGGGTTGTCACACAGAAGGCAGACTGTGGCTCGCTAAGTGCTCTCACAGCAGTGAGGTCCCACAAGGTCCCTGTGAGTCACTTTTATTTGTTCTCTTCATTTTTTTCACGTGAGTGAACCAAGGTTCATAAACAGGATGCCAGGGGTCCAACAAGATAAGGTATTTGAATGTGCTTCATAAATCCTAAAATGCTACCACTTATTATTAGTAGTATTATCAGCAACAGCAGCAGTAGTTAACAGATGATAATGAGTTAATGTGGGCTAGAATCATGGGGCCTTGAAGCTCCCTGGGTGACCCGGGTTTTGAATGACGCACCCAGTGGACAGGCCAGGTGGAGAGAAAGTCCCTTCCAGAAAGTGCTGAGGAGGACACATCTGACTCTGGGGTGGCGTCCAGCCTGCCTGGGAGGCTTCCTAGAAACCAACCCATCCTGCACAGCTGAAAGGACCTCAAGCACCAGACACCCTCCACAAGCAGGCCTTTCTTAATGAGACCCACACAGCTAAGAGAAATGTCAGTTCTGTACATTGATTCAGTAAATCAGGACATTGTTTCCCTGAGATAAAGCCTTTTACAACCTGTACAGGATCTTGATTTCACAATCATTTTTCAGCCTTTTCTGGCTCCTATAAATGATAACTACGAGCCAGAGTTTCAAAAAAAGAGGGGGGAAATGAAACCCAAGAGCTTTCCTCTCTGATTTTTTTTTTTCTTCCATCAGTCTGGTTTTTGAGCTAATCATGAAGGCTTGCCTGGTTCTCATGGATTGCTTTCCTTTAGGGGCAAAACAAATAACACAGGCATTTTAGAATTCTTTTGGGGGCACCGCGGGCTGTGCAGTGAGCTTTTTGTATAAATGCAGGAAACCTTCACAACTGCCAAGGCAAAGTTCCCAAGGTGCAGGCAGAATTAGTCCCCGTGCCTAGTAGCGGGGCAAAGGGCTTCTCTGGCTCTAAAGAGTCAATTTGTGTTTCAAATAGCTTTCAGGAACTTGACACTATGAAACTACCTGCTCTCAGGAAATCTGAGAAAGTCCTAGAATAGCTTTCTTCAAGGAGAGCAGCGGGGCTCATGGCTTTGTTAAAGCTCTCCCTGTTCATTCCCTAGGCCACAGGACTGGGCGCTGAGGTTCAGGGCACCTGCTCCTGGCCCTTGGTTCCAACACTGCCCAGCTCTGGAGAGGACATGACCTCTTTAACTATGTGGGTCTGCCAAGGAACCTGATAATCCTGCCCAGAGGGGGTCCCAAAAACCAAACGAGGGAACAGGAGCCACATCTGAGGGGAGAGAGAGAGGTTCAGCAAAGCAAGTTGACAAGTATAATTTCTATGGACTATTTTGAAAAATAAACCCAAAGAAAGTAACACTTAGCCAGAGAAAATTTAACAGACTTCGTGGGACCCTAGGCCAACTGGGGCAGACCACTTACCAAGTCACATTTGGTTTGGTTTGTTTTAGGCATCCAAAGATACCAAAGACCAAAAGCCTGCCATCAAGCTTTATGCAGATCTTATACTTTTTTGGTGACCATCTCTCTGCTTAATAAGCTTGGAGGTAAGGGCAATTTGCCCAAATCAGCACCTTTCCCCAATGCAGATCTATATGCCTTTTAAATTAAGCCGGGAAGCCCTTGAAAGGGACCAAGGGCTCGCCTCCTGCAGTGACCTGCGGATTTCCTGGGAAACTTTGCATTTGAGGGATATTTTCCCCTTCGGGCGCCCGGGCGGCCGGCGGACTCCCCTCCCCCAAGTCCTGGCGACGCTCTCCGCACCGCCCAGGAGGCAGCCCTCCGGCCGCCTCAGGTTTCCAGGCTTCTGCTGCGAGCCCGCCTCGGCGAGGACTGATCAAATGTTTCTTTCTTACGCTGCACCACCCGCGGACGGGGAAATGCCGCCTCCTCAGCCTCCATGCTTTCCCTTCTACAGGTTACAAATGAAGAGCAGCAGTTTGGAGGGGAGATTGTTTCTGCCCGGGGGGGGGGGGGGGGGGGGGGGGGGGGGAGCAAGGAGACTTAATTTAGTGTTTCACGGTGCTCCTTCATCCCAGCCTGCCCCAGGTTGACCTGGGTTTTGCGCGCGCGCTTGTGTGTGTGTGTGTGTGTGTGTGTGTGTGTGTGTGTGTGTGTTTTCATTGCCAGACCTGATACATTTCCTGATACTCCCTTCAGAACCATGATGATGGCAATAATAGTAATGTTGGCGACTGGAGTGTTTGTTTTTTGCTTTGCAGGTCACAAAGCAAGAAACACCTTTGTTTCCTTTTGCTTTTTTTTTTTTTTTTTTTTTTTAGTAGCTCTGTGCAAAAGAGCGAAGAGACACTTGAAGAAATGTTGTTTTTATTTTGCCAAAGAGAATTGTCCGGATCAGCAATGTCCGCTTTTCTTCCCTTCCCTCTCTTACCTCTCTGTCCCACCCAGTTTTAGAAGAAGGGCTCACGGGTCCGGCCAAGCTCCTGCCATCTCCTTATACCTTGAGAGGCCCCTTAAGAACTAGCCAAAGTCGCCCCGGGCAGGGCACTTGGACCCGCGGCGGCGACCCGCCTGCTCTGCGGCGGATTTGACAAACTGCCGGCCAACTCTCCAAGAAGACAGCCACCTGCCAGATTGCGCCGGACTCCGCCGCAGCCGGGGGCCCGAAACGAGGCTCGCTGGTTGCAGAACGGCCACCCAAGGGCGCGCTAGGGCTGGGCTGTCCTCCCTGGGGAGAGTCCGCGTCCCAGCTCCGTCCGCGCCCAGGCACGTGAGCCTGCGCCGCCGGGAGCCCGAAGGCAGGCGCCACAGGTGCGGCGGGCGCAAGGACGCCAACCTACCTTCACGAAGAGTTCGATCTCGGGGTCCCTGTCGTCCCCGTTAGCTGTCGCCGGGTCCGTCATGCCGTCGGCGCCCGGGGCCAGCGTCCCGGGCCGGGGAGGCGCCACCTCTGCGGCGCCCGAGCCAGCGCTCTGCGCTCCGGCTCCTGCGCCGGTTCTGCGGGGGCCCCCACTTGAGAGCCGCGCTTATTATTATTAGTATTATTGTCAGATCTATTTATCAAACCGGGAGCCGCCGTGTCTGACAGATCAGAGTCCCGAGAGATCACATGCAAAGGAAGGAAGGGGGAAAGGTGGGTTCAAGGATGGTAGCAGGTCCCCGGGGCAACAAGTGCCGGGCTGCAGGGAGGTGTTACAGGATCCGCTCCCGTCAGCGATCCCCGCGTCGCCGCCAACGCGCCCAAAATAGCCGGAGGCCGCGGGGCGGGGTCAGCCCGGGCGGGGCGGGGCGGGAGGGGCACCCGCGAGCGCGGCCTCTGCCCGAGCCCCGGCCCCCTGCCCCCGCCCCGCCGCCCCGCGGGACCCGGGCCGGCGCCGCCCACGAGGCCCGGGGGACCTGATGGGAAAGGTAAAGGGAGGGAGAGGGCGTGCAGACGAACCGGAAAGAGGGAAAAGATGGCTTTAAGTCTTAGGTTTCATTAATGATGCTTTAGCTCCTCCAAGTTGCTCTACTATTGGCGTTATCCTCCTGGAAAGCCCCTCCTTGCCTTCGCAGTGCTCAGAGTGGGGAGCAGATGTGGGGAGGAGCAAAGAAGGAAGGGGCCCCGATTAAGAGCCATCCTCGAGCTGGGCCAATGGAGTAAGGCAGGGGGTGGGGGTGGGCAGGGCCGGTGTCTAAGGTAGAGGGGTGAGCCAACCTGGTCAGGTGCGGCGGGAGCCAAGCACCGTGGCTCTCTCACCTTCCAGGCTTGCTTTTTCTTCCACTTCTCTTTTCTTGTCTCGTCTTTCCTTTCTTTCCTATTCAAATTCTGTTCTCTCTTTTGTAGTGAAGTAGGATGCACATATGGAAAAAGGCACGTATCCTAAGTGTCCGGTTCAATGACCTGAACCCACCCGTGGAGCACCCGATGAAGAATTAAAATACTAACAACACCCCCAGAGGCTCCTCTTGGTCTCTCTTCTCTTCCTTTCCTCCTCCCCGCCCCCCCTTCCACCAGAGTAACCATTATCTTAACTTGTAACAGCACTTGGCTGGAATCTTACAGCAAATGCAGTATATATACTCTTGATGTTTGGCTTCTTTTGTGAACCGTTCCGTTTGTGAAATTCACCCATTCTGTTGTGTGTAGTTGTAAATCATTCATTTTCATTGCCACAATTTAGCATTCGTATTTTTGGTTGATGGACATTTGGATGGTTTCCAGTTAATGACTATCATAGATACTACTGCTATGAACATTCTATCAAACAGCCTTTGGTGATACGTGGACACTTTTCTGTTGGGTATATCCTTAGGAGTGGAATTTACACGTTATAAAGTAAAGAATGTTCTTGAATGAACATTGCCAGATGGTTTTCCAGAGGGATTATACCAGTGTATGCTCCCACCTTTCACTGATTTTAAAAATATTTTAAAATTTGGCATCTGAAATCTGGTCAACTTTCATTTGTTTTCTATGCCTTCTCTTTAGCTAATCCTGTTTGTGCTCTCTCTTGCTGTGCTCACAAATAATTTATTTATTTCACAGCTTTGTAAGAAAATAAAGTAGCCACTTCATAATAAAAATACCTAATAGTACTTATTTTGTACCAGACAAAAATGCTAAGCACTGGAGGTCTTAACTTGCTTCATCTTTACAAGTAGTGTTATTATCCCAGTGTTATTCAAGCAGGGGAAACAGGTTTAAAGTACTTAAGTAACTTGCCCCTAGTCATTCAGCTCGAAAATGGCAGATTTGAACACAGACTGAGCCTCTACTCCCAACTGCTCTACTAACTGCCTCTCTCAAACTTAGTGCATGCTGGGTAAATCACTTGGAAGAAACAAAGACTGAATGAAGATTAAGATCCATTTCAGAATAAGAGTCACATGGAAGGAAGACTAAGACTGTCACATGAATTGGGCAGATGAAATGGGCTCCATAAATCAGCACGCAAGCAGATTATTCACCACAATTGGAGTGGGTAGACAAAAAGGCCTCATAAAGCAGAAGGCACTCGGCTGAACCTTCCTGAATGGTCAGGCGTCTGTCAGGCAGACAAGATGGCAGGGTACCCTGACCACCCTTTATGGCAGGCCATTTCCCTATAAACTGCCAAGTACAAGTGCTTCCTTCTCACTGAAACAGTCACCAAGCCCAACTTGCAAGCCCTCACAATACACTAGAGCTTAATCAAGGTGAGGTTTAATTGCTCTCCTCCTCCTCCTCGGTTTCAGGCTTACATCACCAAAACCTTTAGAGAAACAGTCACCTTCACAGCTGTACATTCTGAGCCAATGACTGCATACTTTGGGAAGCACAAGGTAACAGAGGAAGACTAATACCTTCATTGCATGCTGCACAGACTCATCACTTACAGCTCTGGAATGCAGACAATATTCGCCATAGCAATGCGGCAGAGGTAAATAAAAGTAAATGCGTGACATGCCTTTGAGATTTGGTTTTGGGTTTTTTTAGATGCTTTATAGGGTTTATAAGATGCTTTATATATGTGATCATGTTCTTGGCTGTCATCTAAACTATGTATGGTAGAGGTATGGTATGACCTCCGCTTTCCTGAATCCCAACCTAACAGAGTTGGCTTCCATTTTGTTTTCTCCAAACATCTGCTTACTGCTTATTGGAAATGAACCAGTTCCCTTTTAATCTCTAGACAATAGCTTCCATTTGGGCATCTCTACAGACAACTGATAGTTTTGATATTCTAAATCTTCATGTTGCCAAAAAAAAAAAAAAGGTCTGCTTTGCCGATAAAATAGTTTTGTGCATATTTCTAGTTTTTAAGTCCACATTCTGATTTAGTTCAAGATAAAAAGTCTTTGTTTTGTACCCTTTAATATCAAATCATCATTGGTTAGCATCCATTCCAGCCTTGTCCAGAGAAAAACACGTGCTTGATTATAGACTATACTTTTGATAATCATAGTTTCACAAAGTGAGTGCAAGTTTTGGGTAAATATTTACCAGGAAAGCTCTTTAAAAACATATTTAGTGCTCACTTTGCCTGCACATATACTAAAACTGGAATATTACAGAGAAAATTAACATGGCCCCATTGTAAGGATAACATTCAAATCTATGTAACATCCATATGTTTGTATGATTGTTGAAAGCAAAGATGATCACATGTCTTACAGAGTTTCAATGATATGACATAAAGGGTGAAGGTAAAAGGATTTGTTTAGTAGTAAGGTTTCTTACTTCACTTTAAATGGCAAACTATGACCTCTAAGCAGACTGAGAAAAGTTAGGTATGTATGTTGTAACCACTCCTAAAGCAACAACTATAAAAGTTATACAAAGAGACGTAGTAAAAAGCCAATATAGATAAACTAAAATGTAATGGGAAGAAATCTCCAAATAATCTAATAGGTTTGATGGGGGGAAAAAGAGCAAGCAATAAAAACTTATCATAAAATAGAACACCTAAGTCCAACTATTATCAGTATTTACGCTAAATAAAAATGGTCTAAATACATCAGTTAAAAGCTGGAGATTGTTGGATTGGCTTTAAAAAGACACCCAGCTCTACACTGTTATAGAATCTCACTTCAAGCATAATGATATAATTATAAGGAAAAGGATGAGAAAAGAATTACCATTCAAACACTTAATGGAGAGAATAAAGGAAAACTCCTTGAGGTCATATAGGTCATAATGGCTAACTGCCCAAACTGCCCAGGCCAGGTGCTCCCCACACCCGCTTCCTTTCCCTCTGCATAGCGATGACCCCAAGTCACCCTACCCCGATACATCCAGTCAGCTTTAAACACCTCTGCCGGCATGGGTGGGCTTCTTTTAATTTTATAAGCAAACTACCACCTTTGTTCAGGGCTCAGTCTTTGGGGAACCATCCCACTGGGCCCTCTGTCATCATAAAGCTGTGTTCTCCCTGTTCTCCGAGTGCCACTTGAGTTTTCTCCAGTCTCAGTCTATTTTTCCCCAAAACACTAATAAAAAGAAAGTCAGTGATTATATTGATCTCCGACAAAATAGACTCCAGAGCAAGGAAATTACCAGAGATAAAGTTGGATGTTACACAGTGATGAAAGAGTCAGCCCATCAAAAAGATACAACAACTCTAAATGTATACATACCTAATAACAAACCTTCAAAGTAATGAAGAAAATCTGATAGAACTGAAGTAAGAAAGAAACAAATACATGAATATAGTTGGAGACTACAAAACTTTTAGTAGATAGCACAAATAAACAAACAAACAAAAAAAATCATGAAGAATATAGAAGACCTAAACAGTACTATGAACCAATTTGTCCAAATGAACTTTTATGGAATATTTAATCTAAATAACAACAGAATACACACTGTTTTCAAGTACACATGGAATATTCACCAAAATAAGCCATATTCTGTGTCACAAAACAAACGCTATATTTAAAAGAATGAAACAATACAAAATATGTTCCGGCCATACTAGAATCAATTACGTGGATAAAAAATGTTTCTGCAAAACGTCTAAATATTTGGAAATAAAGGAATTCACTTTCAGAAATTTGTTGGTCAATAAAGAATTCTGGAGGATAATTATAAACTCTTTGGATCTGAATGTAAAGGAGCATACAATGTATCAAAATTTGTGGGATACAACTCTAGCAGTTGTATAAAAAAGAAATTTATACTTCAAATGCTCCTTGAAGAAGGGAATAAAGATCTCAAATCTAAGCTCCTTGAAGAAGGGAATAAAGATCTCAAATCTAAGCGTGTACCTTAAGGAACCAGCTAACCCTAAAGCAACAAAGAATAAAATAATAAATAAAAGGGAAAAAAACTAATGAAATTAAAACAAAATAAAACAATGGAGAAAATCAATGAAACCAGAAGCTAGTTCTTGTAAAAGATCAATAGAATTAATAAATTTGTATCTGGACTTGCCAAGAGAAAAAGAGAGAAGATGTATTTTATCAGTATCAGGTGGGATAGCATTGCCAACTTCACAATCATGAGAGGGTAATAAAGGAACAATATAGGCAACTTTTTGCCTATAAATTAGATACTTAAATGAAATGAACCATATCTTGAAAGACGCAAACTAACAAAACTCATTCAAGAAGTAGGAAATAACCCTAAACCATGAAAAACTTAAATACAAAGAACAAACTGAGGATTGATGGGGCCAGAGGGGAAGATGGGTGACGGGCATGGAGGAGGTGCTAGTTGAGATGAGCCCTGGGTGTTGTATGTAAACGATGAATCATGGGAATCTACTCCCGAAGCCAAGAGCACACTGTATTCTCTGTATGTTAGGTAACTTGACAATAAGTTCTAGTTTAAAAGAATAATAATAAAAATAAATAAAATAAAAAACATTGTAATAAAAAAAAAGAAATAGGAGATAACCTGAATATCCCATATACACTAAAGATATCAAATTCATAGTTGAAAATCCTCCAAAAAAAACTGCACCAAAACACAAAAAAACTCCCAAGCCCAGATATTTTTATCAATGAATTCAACCAAACCTTTAAGAAAGAAATAATAGCAATTCTACACAACTGGAATTCCCATACATTGTCAGTGAGAAGGCAGAATTGTACAGGCTTTCTGACAAAACAGTTTGACAATTCCATGTAAAGTCAAATATAGGCTAACCATAAAACTCACTCGTCATCTCCTGGGTATTATCCTAGAGAGATGAAAACCTCAGTTCTCACAGAAGCCTGTACATGAACGTACACCGCATAATTCATAATCGATGCAAACTGGAGGCACTAAGTGTCCCTCAATAGCTAAAGAATAAAAAAACACTGTGGTACATCCATACAGTGATAATACCACTGAGCAATAAAAAAGAATGAATGCCTCCAAAACATGGATGAATCTCAACTGTACATGCCAAGTCAAAGAAGCCAGTCTCAAAAGATTGTATATTGAATGGTCCCATTTCTATGACATTCTGGAAAGGCAACATTATAGTGATGGAGAACAAATCAATGGCTGACAGGAGGAGAGGGAACTACCAAAAGGTAGTACAAGGGAGTTTTTTCAGGTGATGGAACTACTCTGTACCTTATTTGTGGGGGTGGTTATAGATGTTTCTGCATGCATTAAAACATACAGAGCTCTAAACCAAAAAAAGAGAATTTCCCATATGGAAAGTTTTAAATGAGCAAGATTCTTAAAAACTTCAGAAAAAGGTAAAGCCAACATCATTAGATACAAGCTCCAACTTTTACCTGCCTAATGATATTCGCTTGAACCCACTCAGTCTGCCCCGGGTAGCAGCTGTTTCTATGAGAATTAGATGGTTCCGCTCCTACGTTCCTCACAGAGAATCTCTCAGACAGTCCCAAGGGCTTGAGGTTCAAGCTGAGGGGACAAGTGGGTTTTGATGACAGTTGCAGAAGCACTGGTTACATTGTATCTCTGTGAGAGGACCAGGTGGGTGTAGACAAGAGGAAGTGAGTCCTAGAGGAATTACAACCACATGAAGTCATTCGGTTGGGCTGTGAGGAGGGTTACGGTGGGTTGCTAGCTCTATCTATTCCTTTATAAACTAACGTGCCCTTGGGCGTGCCTGACATTACCAATAATCTTTGTCCCCACAGCAGTGAGCCTGCAGTCTCCCAGGGAGAGCCTGGCAGTGGGCTGGACTGCAGCCAAGAGTCTGTGTCAACAATCTTCACTCATCCCACTGATTCACGCATTACTCATTCTCTCCACCAGTGTTTTGGGGGAGCTCGGCTCATGCGCTTTCTAGAACCCCCCAAGAACATGGATTGTGCATATCCCCTCCTGATGGTAAGCGATCTTGGCTCCTGCCTTATTCCTTCACGGATTGAGTTAGGACTTTTCCACAAGAGTAAAGCCTCCCTGAGGACAGGAATGCCGTTTTGTGTCTCTTTTGCATGACCTCCGAACATAACAGTCCCCTCCTATAAACTTTTTTTTAATTTTTTTTAATGTTTTATTTATTTCTAGGAGACAGAGAGAAAGAGACAGCATGAGCAGGGGAGGGTCAGAGAGAGAGGGAGACACAGAATTGGAAACAGGCTCCAGGCTCTGAGCTGTCAGCACAGAGCCCGACGCGGAGCTCCAACCCACGAACTGTGAGATCATGACCTAAGNAGCAGGGGAGGGTCAGAGAGAGAGGGAGACACAGAATTGGAAACAGGCTCCAGGCTCTGAGCTGTCAGCACAGAGCCCGACGTGGGGCTCGAACCCACGAACCGTGAGATCATGACCTAAGCGAAAGTCGGATGCTTAACCGACTAAGCCACCCAGGCACCCCCCCCGCTATAAACTTTTAAACAAACAAAAACCCGCTTATAAAGCAACTGTTAATAATTCAAGTACAAGTATACATGCCCGAAAAAATAGTTGCTGGTGGAATGAATTAATGAATAACTGGAACTTCCATTCATAGCCTCCTCCACTAGGGATTCTGCCCTTATAGTAACTCAAAGGCTGACATCAGTGAAATGGACATTACAGTGTGGGGGTTTTATAGAGATTCTAATTTTGAAGTAAAACATGGAAAAGAGCTGGTATTAATAATAATAGTTAACATTTGCTAAGAGCCCACCATGCGCCTAAAGCTCTGTCTCTTATGAGCTCCCTTCATCTGTATAAGTAACCCCATGAGACTGATGCTATTCGTCCCATTTCACAAACGAGGAAGCAAAGACTTAAAAAGGTGAAGTTACTTGTCCAAGATCACACAGATAATAATAAACAACACAGCTGGTATTGTGACCCAGGTCTGTCCATTGTGAAAGCCCATTGTATTAACCACCATGTTTTACTGTATGTGAGAAGTAGGGTGGGTTTGGAGGAGGCTGGGATGATGAGAGAGACTTAGAAATTGCTGACTGAATTGCAACCAGTGAATGGTTGCGGATAAGAAATGGCTGGATTTGGGGATTCTGGAATCCTCCTTCACTCCGCATAACCTAAGAGACGCCAGAGACAAGCTGAAAAAAAGAAGCAGGGACCAAAATGTGGTACATGAAAAATAAAAAAAAATACCTAGCCCTTGGAGGAAGGAAAACGATGGAGACAAGACGCCAGAGAAAAGTGATCTGAGGTCATGGTCTGTTGCATCACCATGAATTTTTGGCAGGATTTATTGCTCTGGTAATTGTCTCACGTAATGGCAAAGTTCATACTTTAGTCACAGCAAGACCACATTAAAATACAACTATTACATAAATATATTTTTAAGAACCTTCAGCCAGATCCAAGATAAATACATGCATTACAAAATTCAAAAAAAAAAAAATGTTGACCCATATTACTTTTATACACACAGCTAATTTTCTTTTGGCCAACAAGCCCATCTTGCCAACTGACCAGAGATCAAAAAAGGGCATGGTGTTAAAGAGGACCCAGGCTGGAGAGAAGCAAGGTAAGGAAGCTTGCCGAGTAGAAGTCTGCTTGTCCGTGGGTGAGCAGAATGAATAGAGGGAAGTGGGCAAATGCCCATGACCAAACAGATTAGAATTCTGAAAGGAAAAGGGAAGGGTAGTTATAATGATTGACAGCTAGAATCCGTTTGCCCTTTTGTTAAAGGAACCCTGAATTTTCTTTGAAACCTATATCTGCTCCATTCACAGCCCCTTAGGTTCAAGGGGAGCTTAGGGTTGCGCAGGTGACTTGGGTTGGCCAATGGGAGCAGTGAATCCCTGTGAGCACTGTGATTGGTTCAAAATGGACACATGCTCCACTCGGAGCCCATTTTCTGTTTTAAAACAGAAAAAAGTCATGTCTTCTAATAGACTTGCAAAGCAAGCTACTTAGGGTTGTATTTGTGACCTCCTCATTTGCATGTAGTTTGCAAAGGATCATTTTTTTTAAACTGTAATTATATTCTCTAGTTAGGTAAGGCTGTTTCTTTGTAACTCTTAGAAGATGTTTTATGAATCTATGTTATGACATAATAAAAACAGATCATACTTTGCTCAGATTTGGGGCTTTTATCAGAAATGTGCCTAAGAGTCCATCTTTCCTTCCCTTGGACTTATGGAGAAACCAGGATGTGGTCCTGGAGCAGCTGCTTGTGCCCATCTAGCCACTGCTAAGACAGATAATATCGAGAGTAAACCCAACAGAGAGAAAACAAGGGCTGAAAGATGGAGAAAGGAAACCCAGTTGTGATGTCTTGTTTGAGTGACCAGATCCCTTGGTATCTAAAAAATAGATATCCGTAGGGGCGCCTGGGTGGCTCAGTTAAGCGTCCCACTTCGGCTCAGGCCATGATCTCATGGTTCGTGGGTTTGAGCCCTTCGTCGGGCTCTGTGCTGACAGCCAGCTCAGAGCCTGGAGCCTGCTTCAGATTCTGTGTCTCCCTCTCTCTCTGTCCCTCCCCTGCTCACGCTGTCTCTCTCTCTCAGAAATAAATTAAAAATATTTTAGAATTTAAAAAAATAAAAACTGGATATCCATAGAGTTTCCTGTCCTGATGCTCAGAAAAGTCCCTTTTTGTCTCAAACCGTCTTGAGTTGGGTTTTCTGATGTTTTTAACTGGAGATTTATATCCACAGCCATTAGGATCTGCGTAGAATAAAGAGGGCAATGGGAGAGATGGCCCACATGTTAGAAAAAAGATTTCGGGGCTATTGTAAGTTGGATAGGAGTCAACAGCACAGTGATGCACTTTAAAAAAAAAAAAAAAAAAAAAGGCTGCATCCTAAGATGAATGAGAAGCCATATTTTTAAAGTTCCAGACCCTCTATATAGGCACTATTTAGTCTTTCCAGGCTTGTAAGCTAAAATACAAAGTGAAAGTGGAAATATGTTCAGAAAATAGCAAAGCTGCAGAGAAAGGCTCTATGTGTCAATTTAAGGCGGTATGATAAATGATACACTTATATAAGTATGACTCCATGAATTGATTTTATTTTTCAACAGAGAATGTCTTGCATAGTGAAAAGAGCACAGGGCTTGGATCCAACCCTTCCAAGTTCAAGACTTGGCTTGTGTCACGTTCTAGCCCTATACGTTGATGATCAACACTTCCAAACCTTAATTTCTTTTTTTCTTCTTCCAAACCTCAATTTCTTTATCTGTAAATGGAGACAAAAGTGCCCTCCCTGAAGTTAATGTAAAGTTTAAATAATATTATTTAGTAATATGGAGAATGCGTGCAGGATATTGACTATCCCATAAACAAAGATCAAAAGAACTATCTCTCCCCCAAATGCATATAAGGCAGCACTGTGTTTCAGAGGCAGTTTCTCACCTAATCCCTCACTCCAACCCTGTTCATGAGGTAGCTACTATCATTGCTCCATTTTTGCAGAAGAGAAAACTGATACACACGGATTAGTCAGCAAGCATAGCTAACCAGAAAACTCTAGAGTTGGGATTTTAATCCAGGTCTGACTCCCAAGTGTCTGCTTTTAATTGCCTCAATAGTCCTAAATGATAAAGAATGGAATATATACCCTGTTGTCGTTACTCTGACCACGGTGGGTGGCCTCCCCCCTTTATCTGACGGTCTCCCTCTTCTAGCAGCAGTTCTTTAAGCTACATAAAAAATTATTTCCAGAACAGCATAAAATATTTTTGAGAATCTTGCAAATTCCTTCTTGGAAACGGGCAGAATGGGCCTAATCAAATTGTTATTTTATTTTTATAAGTTTATTTACTTATTGGGTGAGGAGGATTGGGTGGGGAGGGGAAGAGAAAGATTGTAATGAGAGAGAGGTAGAAAGAGAGAGAGAGAGAGACAGAGAGAGAGAGAGAGAGAGACAGAGAGAGAGAGACAGACAGAGAAAGAGAGGAAATCCCAAGCAGGCTCCACTCTACCAGCATGGAGCCCAATGCAGGGCTTGAATTCACAAACCGTGAGACCATGACCTGAGCCAAAATCAAGAGTTGGATGCTTAACCAACTGAACCACGTAGGCGACCCACCAAATTGTTATTTTAAAAATAACCTGTCTTAAAGGTATGGACAGTTATAAATGTCCATTATTCCTCGAGAAGTCTAAAAACATATCTCTCTTTGAGTCTTTTTTCCTTTCCATTTATTTCCTTGTATACATAAGTCTCCTTACTTTAGATCTCAGAGAATCATAATGCAACATTTTAATGCTTTATTATTTGCTCATAACTAGGAAGATACAGAAGAAATCTATCTCTGCGGCACTGTAATAAGTGGGTCTTTTTAATCTACATTCAGGAAAAAAGCTTTGATTCTATTTTTGTCATATATTTTTTCCTAACTGTGCAATCTTTTATGATCTGCCAGGAAGATTAGCCTTACTGCTGCAACGCTTGATGGGCAGAAAATCAGAGGATTGTCTTAAATTGCTTCAATTTCCTTCTCCTAGAGAGAAAGCAGAAAGCACTTCATTTTAGTTACATTCAGCAAGCATACCTTGGTCATGGTCTATGCCAGGTAGTGTGCTCAGTGCTGGGGAATAAGTGTATGAGTGAGCCCCAGCCTCTGTTGCAAGGAGCTCACAGTGCCTACCACACAGTGGGGTGCTCCCACTCTTCACCCTATTTCTAGCTGAAGAGGTGCAATGTGTTTGTAAGAACACAGAATTGAAATAAACCTAACAGTATTGAGGAAAGATGCACATTGCCAAAATTTTCATAACCAGAGTAGGAGAGAGATCTACCCTTGGGTCTACACCAGCTGCCTCACAAATGAGTCCTCTCCCACCGAGTCGGCGATGGCCAGTGTTAATTCATCATTTCCACATTCATGTTTCCATTGACCACCTGTTACGCACCAAATATTTTTGGAAACACTGAGTGTATCTTGGGGAATGAAACACTGTGGATAGCACCTGCCTGATAGACCTTACAATACGTTGTAGGAGATAGAAAAACATGTGAACAAGTAATAGACGCATAATCATAAAATGTGATAGATATTTTCTGGGAATCTGGGTTCCAATGCTAAAGAATCACAGTGGAGGATGAGGGAACCCCCCCTCTCCCTTAGGCCATGCATGGGGAAGGCTTATCTAAGGAAGTGACATTTAAGCCCAGACCTTAAAAGGGGCCGGTCATTTGAAGACAGAAAGGAAGAGAGAAGTGAACAGCGTGTGTGAGGGACCCTAAGGTAGGATAAATTATTTTATGCGTGAGAAACTAAAGATGGAACTTGAATTCCTCCATGTATCCCTTTAGGGGTCTATGCCACAAGGTCCCATTTTTACCTTTTCCTACATAATTACATTGACAAACCTTTGGAATATTAATACCTTGATGGAGAAAATGTGCCCAGAGGCTCTCGTTCGGTGAAAAAGTTATATCATGAAGAAATAATGGCGGCACGACTCAATATATGCTGAGTTGTCTTGCTCTATAACGCTTCAGAATTTCTTCAGTTAAATGCACTTTGGAAAGATTTGCAATGTACATTTGTACAAAGACAGACATTAACCTAAGACTCCTTTGCAATATATGCTTTGCACCTCAATGTCCCTCACACTTTGATTTTGCTCACTAGCTGAATCTACAACAGGAAAAACATCTGCAGGATGGCAAAACCCAGTCCCTAAGGCTGATGTTTTATCTAAGTCGTTTTATGATAGAAAATTGCATTGAAATCCATTCAATTCCATTGAAATTCATTCTTTTTTTACCTTGTTTTTTGGGGGATCTCATAAACACAACCATTATCACCTTTTCCTCTCTTGAAAAATTAAGTCCTAGGATGATAAGTCCATCATTTGTCTCCCTTCGACACAGCACAGGGCAATTCCCTCAGTAGACACCAGACTTAATGACCTTCATGAAACCTCCAATGTTAAGGCCCAAAAGGTCAAACTGCTGACCTAAGCCCTGCCTTACTCACGGCACCAGCTCTCTGGAAAAAGTCGCCAAATTAAAGGGCAAAACAGCCTTGCCAAAGTGGTCTGGCCAAGTTCACAAGTCAAAGCCGACTCCTCTGCTCCTTCCCTCTGGTCACAGAGATGCATGTGGGCCCATCATGTGGGTGCTGACCAGCCAAGACCCCTTGCCCTTGTCCTGGGAGATCACACGGCAGTCACAGTTGCCCACCACTGGGTGACATCTATCCTGCAGTAAATAAAGGATCAGAGGGTCCTTGTCTGAACAAGTGCTGACCCTCTGCATGCCCCTGTCCCAAATGAAGACAAAATATCAGAATGATAAAGAGGGAAAGAGCTTGCTCACACTGCGTGCATGCAAAGCTCTGCCTCCCCTTGTTGGCTATTTGAAGATCTGATCACATGCTTCTCTCCTCCAGGAAGCCACTAGCACCCATAAGGCATATATAATCCATTCTCCCCCAGGCCCCCCTTTTTAATACAGACTCTTAAAGAGCAGTTTTAGGTTCACAGAAAAATTAGGCAGTGAGTACAGAGAGTTCCCCTATACTCCCTGCCCCACTCATGCATCACCTTCCCGACTACCAACATCCCAC